GAAGAAAGAAAAAGTGTAGGGAAGTGATAGGGAAAAGTGATTACTCTCTCACGGAATGGTTTGAAGATAATTGCTGTTTTATTCCCAAGAAATTCATCCCTCAAGTTATACAGTCCACATCGAAGAATTAAGGCGTTGAGACCGGGAAGACTTCGGAAGACCCGTAATCCCCGTCTGAACCTACTTGCTGAAAAGGAAGAGGTTATCGCCCTTGTGTGTTACTCCGTTGCGGAGATCACATACGTTGTTCCCGAACCCAACGTAGGCGTTATAGGAGGCCGGATCGAGAGAAGCCTCGATTCCTCCCTTCTGTTTCTTAGTTGAACGTTTGAATAAGCTGGGTTCCTTTTCAATTGGTCCTTCGCGGCCGGATTGAGAGGACGCCCGAACCTGGGTTCCTTTTCAATGATCTATACAAGTTTTCTGTCTGGTAGGCTTTTGTATGTGATGAGTGAGGTTATTATTTAGTAAAATGTCTTTGTAGAATTCAGAAGCTTGTGTGCACTTAAGTGTGTCTATATTAAAATCTCCGGCTATAATTATTTTAAAGTCATTATATCTGTCACAAATATTATAAAGCATGTCTTAAAATTTATTTAAAAAGTCTGTTACATTGGACTTAGGTATTCTATAGATGCAGATAACACAACAGCGATGGTCTGGCAAAATAATACACATACCTCAAAAGTGTTTTCTGCTTGATATTTATTAATTATTGTAAGATCTACAAAGTTAAAATTATTTTTACAAGGTATGCATACACCACCTCGTTTTACGTCAAGCCTTGAATAACTATTTGTAATAGTGTAGCCATTCAAATGCACACACACTTCTTTCACCTGCTTTCAGAAATGTTTCACTAAGGCATATAACATCTAATTCACATCCTATTTCACGAGGAAAATCAGTTATGTATAATGGCAACAAATCAGTTTTATTAAGAAGTCCAGCTATGTTTTGGTGTAAAATTGTAAGGATTTGGTTTTTACAGACGAAAAAAATTGTCACGTTTTGACCCTTCAGCTGTTACTTCGATATTAGCATTTACATTTTCGTTCCGGTGCCTCGCATAATTGTTTACATAATAAAATTATTTAAGATAGTTTTCTGTGTGATTTTTCTACTTTTCTGTTTATTGACATTTTTATGGGGGAAACGGATTAAATCATGACGTTTGTTAAAGCTAAGGAATTTTTCGTTGTAGTCGAGGCTATCTATTAAAAAATTTAATTTAGTACAAATGTCAAAGCGTTTTTTTTTATCGTCAATGTGAATGAAATGACAATTATTGAAATTGTTACATAGAAGGGCGAATGTTCCTATTCAACAGGTTTTCATTCAAAAAACATTTTTAGTACGCTTATTACAATAATAGTTAAGTTCTGGTTTTTTTTTCAAAAATGCAGATAGTTCTAATAATACTTTAGTGGGGTTACAGTCATTTTCACCAACATTAATTACTATTTTATCTTTATTATTAAAAACAACATTTTCGCATCCGTTAAGAATTTCTTCTGTAGGCGCTTGCGGTTTTGTATCTGCTGTAATACAATATTTTTCATATTTGCTGTTGAGTCTTGATCGAATCAGTGAAGAAGCTAATCCTACACATTGTTGCCCTCTAAATATGTGTATCTTATTTAAAGTTTCTTTAGCCATAGTAGCAGTTTTAGGCGACGTGATATCTTCTAGTGACGTATTCTTATCGCTTTTCTTAGTTTTAGCTTGTATTGCAAAATCAGGGCAGTAGCTTGTTTGTATTGAGGAATCGTCAATGGATTTGTTTTGTCGTATAAATGTTGAGTCTCCTTTTATTTTTGACTTGCGCTTTCTGACACTCCGTGAACATATGGCAGTTAAGTGCTGAATTCGATTTTTTTGCTCATGGACTTCTTTTTGTAATACATTCTTTTCCATGTGCAAGTTTTCTATTTCTGTATGTGCACTGGCAAGTTTACTATTCAATTCCTCAATTTTTTGCTTTTTTTGAATATATTCGTCGTCATAGTCACGAGTAGAAAGATCAGGAAGGCTTCTACTGGGAGATAACGAAATATCCTCCAAATAATTATTATTTTCTTCTAGTAATGAGTGACCTTTTACGTCATTAATTATAGGTTCGTATTCATTTTCCCTAGTAAATTGCTTTCTAAGAGTTATGTTGTCTGTCATAATATTAGAATTTTCTTGTGCTGTACTCGTATATGCTTGTGATGTGTTTGCTTTAGGAGTACTTATAAAAATGGGATTAATTTTACATGATTTTGTAGGTAATGTATGTTTATTTAAGCATTTGTTGCATTGCCATTGATTCTTGCAGTCAGATGTCATCAAATTAAATTTCCTTATCGTCATATTTACACATGAAATGTCATAATTATTTTTACATATAGAACACTTGACACCTTCCTTTGTGATATTTTTCTTACATTTAAAACATTTTTTGGTTCTGGAAGCGGGTTTTTTATTTATTGGCGTCATTTCAGCAAAAAGAAAAGAAAAATTAAAATAAAAAATAAAAAAGTAACAAAAAAATAACAGTGTCAACCGGGTTTGAATCACCACTTTCCGGCCGTTAAATAAGTCTCGGTTCAACACAGAATGAACTTACTGTGTCTTGAAGTCTTGCAATGGTATGCTTGGGTTTAATTTTAATTTCATTAATTACAGGGTCTTAAGCAGGTGGTAGTACCAAGCCTCCTTCTCTATTGAATTTTTTTTAATTTCAATAGTCTCAGGTATCGGTCCTTGATAGGAATTGATGTACCTTTTAGAAGATTTGTGGTCTATCAAATCTTTTTTATACGTCTATCTGGTTGGGGCCGTCCAGGATATGATCACAAACTGCAAACTTCCCTGAACCTTGATGCTTCATGTCAGCTCGCTTCAAAATGTAGACAATTTTGTCTGTGACACCCCTGACAAATGCTAGTACTGCACATGCTTGACTATGGCCGGCTTCACTCGGCCACTGTGACGTAAGCGCGGGGCTGAAGCTTGTTGACCTGCAGAACCTGCTTGACGTGCTGAAGCTCGACGGCTCGATGTTTGCTGCCACAGATCCCTTGTGCTCTCTGTAACAAAGATTTGCTCACGGTAACTAACTGTGAAGGATAATGGCGAAATTCATTGTTTTCTATAGACAGTGTGACCTATGGTGTTGTTAGAATTTTGCATGACTAACGCATCTAGGAAAGCTAAGGAATTATTTGCCTCTAATTTACACATCAATACATCATTCAGGAACTGAGCAGGAAGCAAAATATTAGTCTGATGCCGTGCCCAACCCAATTACCATATTACTGTCATAATATGGGCACAGCATCCAACAGTTCGACGGCCGACAGTACTTTTTAATTGCACTTCTACCAGAACCATTGCCACTAATTAAAATATATATAAAATACACTTTACGACTAATGGTGATGACTTGCAATTCTAGCCCTAAGTAAAGATCAGCTAGGGCTTAAGTTTATTCCTTCCATAATGCTGCTCCTCTGGTTATCACAGAGTTCTATCCGGTAGCAACCATTAAATCTTATATGCTCACCAAAATAGTAGCGAGCTTGCTTTAATTGGTATGTGACACAAGCAATTAATATTAAGTCGCTGTAAGTTAAAACAGGAAATTCCCTAACATTTTAAAGTCTACATTTATATTTCTAAAGTCTGCCTGCCCTAGCTCTATTTAGATTGCTTTCCCTAGCATACTCAGACAAATCATTATTTGTCTCCATATTTTGGTGAACTTTTTCAAGTATTTGAGCCGCATCATCCCTGTCCCTTATTTTTGTGTGGAATTTATTAATTATAGCAGCAGCCACAGCAGTCTATCATCAAATGTGTAGAAGCCCTGTTATTGTAATTTTGATGAAATATTTTAAATTCAGTTTTTAAAATGCCATTCATCACCACTACTACTCATATCGACACATAGTCACGGCTCTGGATTTATTAGCATATCTTATCATTAACTGAGATTCACCATCTGCTGGAGACATTGCTGCGGCCCTTAGACATCCACATCTATCCTCTATTACAAATCAAAATGCAGATGCGTTGTCACCCTTGAGAACTAAGATCATTTTCAGATCGTTTCCAGTAAAAAGGGTCTCCGGTTCTCTACACTCACCATACAAAACACAGCAGCATTAAGCTACTATTTCATGCTGGTATTCTGTGAGAGCGTGGTCCTTCCCCGGTCGAGCCGACCCATTCATGCTACAACTATACTTCTAATATAACTGCAGCATTTCTCTACCACATATAACTCACGTACATAGTAATTGTAAACACAAAAGAGACATACTCGCAATGCTGATGGAACATTGAGTCCATTGGAATTGTTACAACCAGGTAAAAAACATTGATTTGGTATTAGTGGCGCTTTTAAATAATTAGTTAGCAGTACACTGTGTGATGTATGATCTAAGCTTTGTTGTTCTGGGTGCAATACATTACTCACTTCAGATTGCAAAGAGGATGGACTAGATGATTCAGATGGTTCCCGTTCTGCAGTTGAATGTGATGCTGTTCTATCAGTTCACTGCCAGCAATTATGATACACACGTCATGACAACGGCAACTGAAATAATGTAAAATACAAAAAATGTAGTCAAAGTGAAAAAGAAATAGATTTGTTTATTTTAAACTCAAATATAAATAAAATATTTATCAAGTTAAATGTTACTGCATAAGGATGGACTTAATGCCCTATATTACTAGTCGTTCACTTCAAGAATGCCGTTACCTCCCGCCGCGCCCCCTCATTCCGCGCTTCAAGCGTCGCCCTTTTAGTACCGATAGCAAAGTCGAAGTGTACTTACGTCCGTTTTTTATGCTCCCGTACGTTCTCTAGTTTGTTACTGTTTTTGCTGTTGTTTTTGTTACTGTTGATTTTTTGTTTTTGTTTCTGTTGATATTCGTTAATTTGTTCTGTTACAATGAGTAAAAGAGGAAAGGTCTTGCACAGTGGCGAACGCAATTTATTATATAAGATAATGACATTCTTTGAACAAGAAAAGGTTGAAAAGCAGTTGATAACGCCTTATAATGTTCACGATGTCGTAGCTATGAAAAGTATTGCCAGATTAAAAAATGAAAACTCACGTGATACTTGTGGCAGCACACTGCTCACACAGCCCGATGCACCGTCGGAAATAGAAATTAAGTTGTTGGAAAATGAAAAGAAGTACCAGGCGCTATTAAAATCATTCGATAACGTTATCAAGAGAACTGCGGCCGCCACTGGTATATCTGAACGTACTTTAAGAAATATAAAGACTGAAGCAAAAAAAACTAAAACGAGCTCATCTGAGCCCAGTACTTCAAGTACACAAGAAATAAAATTGACATCACCGAGAAAAAAGAAAATAGCCACAATGAGGTTGGAAATAGATGATTTCATGGTGTGTTCGATTCGAAACATAATAGACCGTTTCTACACAGTTAAAAAGGAAGTTCCTACGCTGCGCAAGATATTAGCAGAAGCAAAGAAAGACTTCAATTTTCCTGGGCAAAAAGTCACTCTCTGGAAAATTATAAAAACGAATCTTGGATATAAGTTTACAAAATGTAAAAATATAAGACAATATCTTATTCAGAAACCGGAGATAGCAGCATGGAGAGCACGTTACTTGCGGAGATTACGTGAAAATGATGAACAGGGAGTCTATAAAAAACCAGTCATATATTTGGATGAAACGTGGATACACAGCCACTATACCGTTTCAAAATGCTGGCAAAATGCAACTGATGCAAGTGTAAAAAAGAATTTCAATCCCGGACAACGTTGGATTGTGGTCCATGCTGGCAGCGAGAATGGTTTTGTCAAAGGTGCCGAACTCCTTTATAAATGCAAAAGCACTGCAGGGGACTACCATAATGAAATGGACGCAAATAATTTCAAAAAGTATATACAGGAAAAACTCCTACCCAACTTACCTCCCAATAGCATTCTTGTACTTGACAATGCACCGTATCACATCCGCCAGATTGATAAACCACCGGCTTCAAAGAAGTTATGCAAAAATGGTTGCAGGAAAATGGTATATCCTTTGACCCAAAGATGACGAAGCGAGAATTATACTATGTAGTATGTCGTTCGAAGCCTACCAAAAAATATGAAATTGACGAAATTGTCCAAAGTCATGGACACGAAGTCTTACGCCTACCACCGTACCAATGTGATTTGAATCCCATCGAGTATGTGTGGAATCTAGTGAAGCAAAAAGTAGCCGATAAAAATGTAAGCCAGTCTGAAAAAGAAATACAAAAACTCACTCTGGAAACTACTAATAGTATCTTTGTAGAGGACTGGAAAAAAGAGGTAAACCACGTTGAACGTTTACGGCAACAATATTGGGAAAGCGATAGGTTGCAAGAAATCAACGAAAGAGAATTGATTATTTCGGTGGGCGGAGAGACTGATGACAGTGACACAGAATGGAGTGATGACAGTGACACAGAAACAAGCGATTTCGAAAATCTTTAATTTGATATATTTAAAATGTAAAATAAAACTATAAAAAAATATTTTATTTTATCGAACACGTTATTATTTAATCTTCATATCATTCAATAAATATTTTAAATAATAATTAATATTAAAATATGAATACTAAAAAACATAAACATGATGACTTTTTTCGTCTACGGTACCGTCAGCTGTGACGTCGTAACGGTCTACGACGGCAAACTCGAAATGAACGCGTAGTATTTAATAATTAAGACCTGACAGACTACCATCAGTCCAAAAACAATGAAAAATCAACGGTCTCCTTTCTTGGTAGCTGATAAAAATGGTCAATCTCATAAATAAGCTAGTATGTTTGTCAGATATAGCTTGTGCAGATGTGAAAAAATAAAACAAGTTCTTGCGTTGATATACCATCAGTGTAAAAACATGTATAATTATCAGATATAAGGGTAAATCTTTTCAATATGGACCATCGATTTCAAAGCCCACATTTTTTTTTGTAGATAGTACTCACTAAAAGAAAGCGTTTTGCAAAGTTTTAGGTTGCGGAAACTTACGGTTCATGAGATATTTTTTTTTAAACTTTTCATACAAATTGGCAAATAACACGCAATTACACCAATTACAAAATTAATTTGACAAATCATTGATGTCAAACGTCAATTAGTGTAGGGTTCCGAATATTTTGAAAGTATCGATACGTACTCGATACCAAGTATCGTATCAAAAGTATCAATACTACTTGGTATCGAGTACATTTCGTTAATTTTGGAGACTAGGGGGGTAAGAAGCCGGGAAGTTGTGCTCCGGCGCTCCGTGGCAGCTCCGGCGCTGCGGGATGAGCAGTGCCTCCGCCCTAGCGTAGGGAAGCGCAGGCACCTGAGATCGCCTTCGCGGCTGCGGCTTTTTGGTCGCCGAAGGCGACCAAAAAGCCGCAAGCTACGCGACGGGCCTACTCCCTAGGCGGGGGGGCACTGCTCTCCCTCCGCGCCTCCGGGCTCTTATATACACTCTAGGGGTAGGGCAGACAAGACCACGTGGATAGTGGGGTGCTCTGATTCGGTTTTGGGTACTTTTTGAATATTAAATAAGTAAGTCAATAAGTAAGTAAACACTTTATTGTAGTAAGAATTAGATAATACAGAAAGTTGCAAACAATAAAATAAAAGTACAAAAGCTGTACTAATTAAGAAATACAAACAAGTTGCAAACAATAAAATACAAGTACTAAGGTGGAACTTAAATAGAGTAAACTTTATTCTACTTTATATACATATATAATTGCACTTATCAGCTCTTCCTATGCATCTAATTGGTTTGTCCTATTTTTCGTCTCCAAAATTAACGAAATGTACTCGATACCAAGTAGTATTGATACTTTTAAGATAGTAGTAGGTATCGATACTTTCAAAATATTCGGAACCCTACACTAACTGACGTTTAACATCAATCATTTGTCAAATTTATTTTGTAATTGCGTGTTGTTTACCAATTTGTATGAAAAGTTTAAAAAAATATATCTCATGAACCGTAAGTTTCCGCAACCTAAAACTTTGCAAAACGCTTTCTTTTAGTGAGTACTATCTACAAAAAACATATGGGCTTTGAAATCGATGGTCCATATTGGAAAGATTAGCCGATATAAGCATCACACTTAATAAATTGAAAAATGTTAAACACTTACCTCCAAAATTATATCCAATTGTTGAGAGATCAACGATTGCATTTTCCAACAAAACAAATTAACACGATAACACGCAATTGAATTCTTGTGACATAACAGTGACGGGGGCGACCTGTCAGATTCGATGTTGCCACTTAACTGTCATAAAATCTATGAAACGATATCGATTTTTATTCGATTAATAATATCATAAAAAGAATAATCTTTGACGCGTTTTAAGTTCTGCACGCTTTTTAAAATATAATTTCCTTTATTTATTGAAATTCTATTTCAAACGTATTTTAAAGAACAGTTAACTTGTGCTGTATTGTTTTGTTATGCTAGAATTCATGGTAAATCAGCTAGAAATTAACTTCTTGAATTATCATAACATAATTCCATTTTAAATGTTATGTTAAGAACAGATAAGAATAACAGTTAAATTGTGCACTAGCATTTTGTTATACTCTAAAGAATTCTTGGTAAATCAGGTAGTAATTCGCTTTTTTAATTATCATAACTATAAATGTGAAGTTTGTCATCGATTTCAACCGAGCCTATAACAACGGTTGTTTTTGTTTTTAACGGTTGACTACCGCTTTTGATGACTTGAAATGGATAAAAACACATTTTGTGCAATAAGTTTTTTCTCTTTGGTAATGAATAAAAGCACAGAAACCCGTATAATGTATAATAGTCCTTTTTTTTAGATACAAGAAGCACATTTTAAAGAACCGCAAAAACAACTTTGTTATTAACACAAACACTATGAAAAACAAAATAATTTGTTGCTTGCGATAATGATAGTGGTATTTTTGACTCGATTTAAATTATATGCTTGTTACTACAGAACTCTTCATGGGTCTGCGAGTCCGACTCGCACTGAACCAGTTTTTTTCAACTTTTAGTTTTATTTTAATAATTGGTTTTTTCGTTTAAGCGGAGCTCTTTTACTTTAGATTTATTACCTCTTTATCTATAATAATCAATTTGAGTAAGTAAAGTGTGCAAATACGATTATTAAATTGTAAAAATAATAATTCGATTTGAACATCTTAGGTAGGTATTTAGTTTTATTTATTTAGAAAATATTAATCTCACAATTAATTATTGTAATAATATAATTTTATCACACAACTAATGCCCTCATTAGCAATGTAATGGTGAAAGAATTTTCAAAATCGGTCTAGTAATTTTTGAGATTAGCCAAAAAACGTATTCATTGAAAGTAGCGCCCTCTATAATAAAATTCATCCTATATTAGATATCTAAAATTATACATAACAATCTAGTGGTGAAATAATTCTCAAAGTTAGTCAATTATTTTACTTTGATAGTAGCGCCCTCTATAATAAAATGCATCCTACGTTTTTAAGCACCATAACAAGAAACGATTAACATAGCCTAACCGCACAACAGTAAAAACATAACCATCCTTTTTCGTCTGTAGTCGGATAAACAACTGGTTGATAACGGTTGCGTATCGGCTGCTTTGGATAAATATCCATTGTCAACGGTCCTTTTAAATATATATCGTAACATCATAATAATTATCGAAAAATTATATTAGCATTGTAATAATGACACCATAAGTAATCGATCAAAAAGGGGAATCGATTTTTTAATGAGATTTGTGATTGGCAACACTTTTTATTTTATTCACAAACTAATGAATTAATGATTTACCTAATTTTATTCTTATCTTTTCAGTACTTTTAAATTGTGCAAAAACATTCCCATCTTTTTAGGATAAATGAATACCGCGATTAATAACCATAAATAAAGATATATTTTTTAATAAATGCACATTGTTGGGCGTTCCATGGCCGAAAATGGGCATCCCCCTTTATGTCATAGGCAAAATACTAGTAATACTGATAGAATTAAGTTATATAAAAATAAGGACTTAAAGTTGATTAGGAAATTTTGTTTAAATCACTTTCTTTTTGTACAATAAAAGTATGACTGGTATCGTTTTTGCGCACATGAATTTTGCCGAACTTCACCCACACATAGCTGTAGTTTTTCTCTTTAGCGAGGGCCTTCACCTTTATCAGCAATGATTTAAAGTGTGGTGTTAGGTGGTTGTTTACAAAGATGCGGTTCTTGCTTCCTGTGAATCCTATGTCCTTAGCATATAATTTCTTCTTAGCGCGAGCTGTTGCAATGAAATCCTCTTTTGTGTGTCGATTTATACATCGAACAATTATCAATTTATCTTTCGAGTTATGCGAGGGAACTCGGGCGATATAATCTATATGGGATTT